TCAATTTTTGTTCAGAAAAATAGCTATTTATATATCAAGGGAGGAAAGGAATATATTTCCTCCCGCGTGTGAAGTTTGATGTACGAACGCATTTCTTTAAATCAAAGCATCATTCTTGAAATTGTGCTTCAGGCGGTCTATCTCTTGATTCAAATCATTATGCATTACAAAGATATAGTATGCCACGAGGTATGCCATGGACAGTTGACGGCATTTGAACGAAAGTAAATTTGACACTTCTGTCATCATGAATTGATTGATTTGTATGTTGTGTAGCCCCGTTTGAAGAAGCGTATGATATCATTGGGATTCAAAAAGAATATTATTGTTATTTGTTTTATAATAGTGATATAGAGACTGATTACTTGGGTGGCACAGATTTCATAAGTATATCGACGCCAAAGGGTGCATGCTGAAGCCAATTCATTTTACCTCCCACGGGAGTTAATATTTTTTTCCTCCCGTGGGAGTAAATTGGCCACTTCGTTTCCTTAAATATAAGGGAGCAAACGCCTACTTTCGACCCAGTGAGTAGAGACCTTGTATCTAGTATTGAAAAATGGCAATAACTTGTTTACGTTGACATCAGGCCCCCAAGTAGTATATCAGCCCAGGGCTCCACAAACTCACGGTCCGCCCCTGGTTTTCCACCTTTTAATATTATTTCAGGTCTAGCAAATAAAAAAAAAACTTCACTTACAGGAATGAAACGAACGTTGTTGCTGAAAGGACAATAGATCATACGGAAACAAGAAAGACCTGGCCTTTTTCTGTTAATTCACAAGATTTTGGATCTGCGGATTCGGCTGGTAAGTCATAATGTCTATATCATGGACGTAGTCACTACAGGGCAAAGGGGGTTCATGAATTAAAAAAATCATATTCATTCATAACCATGATACCTACATCAAAAATATGCTCTTCCACATGCAGATGGCATAATTAACTGAACGAAATTTGAAGAAAAAACAATATATTATGTCAGTAGAATAACACTTGTCTTCTCTACAAAGTAGGTATACAGCGTATCTCACTTTAAACGGCCCCCCTTCTATATCTCAGTTATTAGTCATGCGATTCCAACCAAATTTGATGTGGTATGAATAAACATCAATATGATCAGTTTTACAGAGATGCACATTATTTTGGACAGTGCCGTGTGTTTTTATTGAACTAAAAAGGGGTCGATTTTTCATAAAATCATATTAGGCATTTTTTTACAGGAAATCTAACCTTATATTATTGTTCCTCATGCTTTCGAACCTCCATATGCAGAAAAAATCACCTAATCCCGAATTAACAGGATTGGCTTAATTTTTTTCATTTTCAGTCCCGAATAAATAGTGACTTCAAATCAACTACGAATTTTGGAACGTTCGATGGCTCCGGTAGGCGGAAAATCATGATTTGGAAGAGAAAACGAGTTATAATTTTTTATGTTCAACCGTTTCCGAGTAAATAATTATTACGTTCGCAAAAATCTGTTTAGATGTGCCTGTTTTTCTGAAAACCTTCATAGGCATCTTTTGAAAATCCACATATTATGTTAGTTCAATCAAATGGTGCACAAAAACAGCTTGAAGTGGAAAGTTCTGGTGTAATTAATTTCAGTGGTTTATAGTATGCTCTTTGATGTGCTCAACACGAATCTTGAGTTTTCCACCAAACATTTCATCGGCAAATATCAGAAAATACCAAAAGAGCACACAAAATTATGTTTTTTAATGGTTTTCAGCTTTCAACTCGCAAAGGAAGCCGTTCACACAAAAAATTGACGAGTAGTAAAATCAAGAGGGAAAAATTATCTACAATTCATGTCTCATGATACTTTTTGGTATGTTATTTGGTTTCCATGCAAAAGAGTGTTGAAGTTTCAGTGGAATCAGTGATTTTTGGAAAAAAATACAAAATTCAACTAATTCATAGTTTTTATTCCTAATAGATAAACATATCACTGTCTAATGTAATTCTCCTCCTAGACACAGACTCCGTGGCTTCTCCAGGGCAGCTTTCAAGTTCATCTTCGCCTGTTACAAATAATCATTGACTTAATTCAATAATTTCAACAATATATCGATTAGATATAAAAGCAATACCTATTGAGGATTTCTTCGACATTTTTATACGTACTCGACTTATTTATCATTATTGATTATTGGTCGATAACACAAATGGATTGTGAGAAGAAAAATAAAGGTGCGAAAGAATTATTCATGCAGTTACCTTCCAGAGGATCAGAAAACTCAGAATCATCCTCTGCTTCTTCTTCAATCGCTGGCCATGTTATTGCAGCTATTTTCACAATTTTTGGGACCCACAGTTGGTCTGACAGGTTTTCATGCACTTGTAGGATATTAGATTCAAAACTGCTTCTGGTGCTGGTGATCATAAAATACAAAAAAGCACAAAAAATCATGTTTCAAATGGTTTCAGCTTCCAACTCGCGAAGGAACTGGTGCATTCCCAATGGAATTCAAAATAAGTAATGAAACCATCCCGATTAATCCTACGACTATTTTTCAAAGAATCACAATTGCTAAACAATCTGACGAAGAACTCGAAGAAGTTCCCAAAATATGAACTGTGCCCTTATCCGTTGCCTTTTTTTGATGACTATGGAATGAGAAAAGGAACCAAGTCTGCCTTATACAAAGCATTTACACCAACTGAACAGACAAATCTCCTAGGGTGTGTGTACGTCTTAGATGGAGGATATTTGCTCCACGAGGTGGTGTGGACCATGCCCATTTGGCATCCTTACCCCATACCACCGAACATAAACGTCTCAGTTTATGTTCGGTGCCCATATACGGAAGCTGCAGCATAACAGCATTCTTTGAGAGTATAATTTCAAGTGGAACAGTGGCTCGGAACCACAAAAGATCCCGAGCAATGGGGTTGAAAAAAAACCAAGCCAGTACCAACGCTACAGTCACCAGCACCAGAAGCAGTTTTGAATCTAATATCCTACAAGTGCATGAAAACCTGTCAGACCAACTGTGGGTCCCAAAAAGCAGGCCTTATTTGTTCTAGTATGTGTCTGAATTGTGAAAATAGCTGCAATAACATGGCCGTTACAGACATTGAAGAAGAAGCAGAGGATGATTCGGAGTTTTCTGATCCTCTGGAAGGTAACTACATGAATAATTCTTTCGCACCTTTATTTTTCCTCTCACAATCCATTTGTGTTATCGACCAATAATCAATAACGATAAATAAGTCGAGTACGTATAAAAATGTCGAAGAAATCCTCAATAGGTATTGCTTTTATATCTAATTGATATATTGTTGAAATTATTGAATTAAGGCAATGATTATTTGTAACAGGCATAGAAGAACTTGAAAGCTGCCCTGGAGAAGCCACGGAGTCTGTGTCTAGGAGGAGAATTTCATTTGACAGTGATATGTTTATCTATTTGGAATAAAAACTATGAATTAGTTGAATTTTTATTTTTTTTCCCAAAAATCACTGATTCCACTAAAACTTCAACACTCTTTTGCATGGAAACCAAATGACATACCAAAAAGTATCATGAGACATGAATTGTAGATAATTTTTCTCTCTTGATTTTACTACTCGTCAATTTTTTGTGTGAACGGCTTCCTTTGCGAGTTGAAAGCTGAAAACCATTAAAAAACATAATTTTGTGTGCTCTTTTGGTATTTTCTGATATTTGCCGATGAAATTTTTGGTGGACAACTTCAGATTCGTGTTGAGCACACCAAGAAATAAAGAATAAGCCAATGAAAACAATTACACCAGAACTTTCCACCCTGAAATACCGTTTGATTAGACTATGTGGGGTTGAAACCATGAAGAACAATATTATGAGGTCAGTTTTCCTGTGAAAAAATGCCTAATATGATTTAATAAAAAACTGATCCCCATTCATTTCTATAAAAATGCACGGCATTGTCTAAAATGATGTTTGTCTGTGAAGAACTGGTCATATTGATGATTATTCATACCAATACAAATTCGGTGAAGATCGCACGACTGATTGCTGAGATATAAAGGGGGGGCCTTCTGAAATGAGACATGCTGTATTTCTCCAAATTGTGCGTTAGAGAAACATGTTTCGGGCATATTATGCCCATCATAAGTCTCATGAAAACAAGAAAATAGCATGATCAAAATTATACAAAATGTTGAAGGGTTTGAATATTTTTCCAAGTCGAAGACGGTCATTGAAGCTCTGGTATTATAAGTGACAATAATAATTCTATATTGGATATTCACATTAGTAGTTATTGATTGAACATTAACGTAAAGAAAAACTAGCACTTCGTTGATAGAGCACTTATTTATCTGTGATTTCACTGTATTTAGATTAACAATAATTTCACATTGGCCACGTTTTTTATACCGTATTGACAGTTGGTATGCTTACCAAGGAGATCTACTAAACTCAGACCAAACGCATGTTTATACCATATATCTTCAGTTGACTACAATACCAACTTTGTTTTGATTTGATCATTTTTTTGAGGTCCGGGAATAAGGATCTAGGGCAAGGTTTCCATAACTTCCATGGACGACACACCAATAATAGATAGATAGAAGAATATCGTCTATGTCCGATGTATCTAGATATAAAAGTGAAAGGTCGGCAATTTTTATGTACATGCGGATCCCGGAATATACCATTTGGTTTTTGTGGAATTTTGGTTTCGAATAGATGCTGAAACTCAATTTCTAAGTATACAAATTATGGATCAGTATAGCGTTACTGGAACACTAAAATATAACATGACATATTAGTACATTTCATTTCACCTTGCAACAAGTGAAACTATACTGAATGATGGTATGACGTTACTTTGAGGTATTCACTTTTATTTTTCCATGTCTCCGTATTTATTGGGTTGTGTACGTCATATTATATGCATAAACTTATCTAAAAAACTAAAGCAAACACCGACATCGGGTACTAATATTAATATTACGTTCGGGGAATAGGTATTACCTTCTCTCTGAACCATGCACAAACATTGACTTACCAGCATTATCTGTGTGTTATCATCAGTCATTCGGTGAACGAAACGCTCTTCGTATCCCCAAAACAAATTTAGATAACCGATAAAAGCAGATACTCGATCTTGCATCCATTATTTTTTATTTGGAATATCAACAATCTAGCTGGCCTATGTTGAATTAATTGCGTCCTTGAGTGACGTAGGTAGCTGGCTGTTCATTTTGCATTTATTGCTTTCTAGGTAGCAAAGTTTCTTGCTCTTAACAATGTGGCATGTTGAAATGTTCAACAATCACGTTTCCGCTGTCACGCTGGGCTGTGACAAATTCGGTTCGGCAAAACGGCAGATTGGGTTTCATTCATACTCGCTGCAGTTTGGGGGAAGTGCATAATTCATGAATGAAGTACCTAGTTTCGAAAGTTTTAGAGTGTCTATTTTGGTGATTTTATCTATATTGCTTTTAGCTTTAGTACTAGTGTGTCGTGCGTGTTGAGTGAAGTGATTCGAAGGAGGTACCTGGTAAATTTTGGCAACATCCAAGGTACCAAGATTGGTAGGACATAGATGAGGGACTCCCATAGGTAAGTAAGTGAAACCATGTGAGCTTCAACTGTGGATCATTTCCATTTGGGGATTTTCGTGGTTCCTGATGTGATATCTTTTTCATTTGAGAATAATAATTATACAGGGTGTTTCATTACTAATATTGGATCTATTTCAAGCATAGAATCCTGAGCTCAAAGTATGAAGATTTAACCCATATCACCTAGATAAAATGTATCGCCGGTCAAAGTTATACATCAGTTCTATTTGAAAATTTAAAAATTATTTGTATTAGAACTTTGAAATGCTACTTTGGTGATCGGGATCTGATTTCTTTAACGAGGCGTAGTCGAGTAAAAAAAATATTCGAGATGACCAAAGTATTTCGCGCTCGAGTTGTAAACAACATTTTTTCTACAAACGTCAAAAAATATAGTTCTGAAGTAAAAATATGCTTAGCTTGATGTAAAAAATTGTGTTGAACTGGCTTAAAAGGCCTCCCCCTATCCTCCCTAGGTACGCACGATGTTCCACGAACATAATAGGAATTTCCTTTCGTGCGCTCCAAGAGATAAAACAAAGTTAGAAGTTGAACATTCAGAAATAAATGATTTCGTGGATGTTTGCTCGATTGAGGACCATAAAGTTGAAATATAAATATCTCATATATTTTACATAACAATGCGCGAAGTAGGTACTTCGCGCACTGTTTTACTTCGCACATTGTTTTGTGCAAGGTATCATGGTAACGTAGGAAACTGAAAAAAGTGTCACTTCGCAATTTGTTATCAATGCGCGACCTTGTCATTTTTTGACGTTTGTAGAAAAATAAAATTATTGTTGGAGATTAAATCGGATAAGTTGGTTTGTCTTTGTTTATAAATTGTGCACTTCCTGAAATTATTTCATAACTTCAATTTAAAACGAAGTAGATGTTTCATGGAAATAATATTGAGCACTTTATTTTTTAATGAGTACCTCTTCATCATTGAATTCGCAAAATACTACTACTACTACTACTACTATTATGTACTACTATTTGATGATGATTGGATTGCCACTAACAATTTTGAATTCGCAAAATACTACTACTACTACTACTACTATTATGTACTACTATTTGATGATGATTGGATTGCCACTAACAATTTTGGGTTTCAAACTATTCATATTCAATGTTTTTGCCATTTTCAAACTGCTTAAACTGAGCTCCAAACTATATGTGAATCAGTTTCCCAATGGAATTCAAAACCCGACATTTCTGGCTAGTACCAGGGGCGTACGACAGGGGCATATGTGACTGGTTGCTCCTTCCCGAGATCCTTCCCAAATGCTACGCCACTGGCGGAATTGCCATTTTATCACAATTTTTCGATTTTCCAATACTTTCTACGTGAATATCGAACTCTTTCTTTCATAGCGATTAAGTCATTATTTTTCGAGATATTTCAAGTTGAACAGGAAGCTCCACAATTAATTTGATTTTTTGATGTGTATTAATAATGTCGATGTTTCGGATCGTTGGTTTGGTTTCAGTCCACATTGACGAAAAAACATAATACCGAACATATAAGGATTTTTGAATGTAATACTACCCTTTTACAGACACAAGACACATTTTATCTAGGCGATTTGGGTTAGATTAGATCTCTATATTTTGAGCTCGGGATTTTATAGCTGAAATAATTCCAATTAGTAATGAAACACCCTATATATTTTAATTTTATGAAATAATATTGAAACTTCAGTGAACAACTTATCTATATCTCATATTATTGTGATCCTATAGGTACCTCAAAAAATTGGTTATAAATGACAATGAGGGATGATCATTTGTATTTCCACACTCGTGACTATATATAACGAGTCAGTGAATTGAGAATTAAATAATAAATAACTACCTATAGATAGGTACCTATGGTGTGTGCTTCAAAATGGTTACCTAATCAAATCCACGATAATATAAGATATTAATAAACACAAGAATAGTAAGAATACTAAGTAAGAGGTATCTCATTCCTATGGCCAAAAGTTAACGTTTTGTCAGAGGTTGAAAATATAATAATTATCACCTGGAAAACTGAATGGAACTGATCCAGAGTTTGTTCATAAACATAAACCTCGACATAAGCAATCATCAATGAATCAAGCTACTTTGAAATATAAATGACGCATAGGTAGTTTTTGAATTGATCGTATCATATTTCTGCGGGGGCAATTGTATTGTTAATATATCGTGTTAATAGCTCCTCAAAGAGGTTGAGGACATGAGTAAAGTGCTCCTTAGAGGGCTAGCAAAGGGCTAGGGAAAAAATTACATAAGTTAATCACGTCCATTCATCAGATTGTGCTGTGGGAATTGAGATAATTTGAAATCCAAATATACCGAAATATACCCATTTCGTGAGATTTCATAAAGACCACACGCCAGTGTGACTCAATAATTTGCACAAAATGTGCACATACCTAATTGAACAAAAATCGTAGATATCAATAGAAATACAGTATAAATTGAATGACATTACAAATCAGCAGAAGTCCTGAATATGAGTGAAAATTCATGGACATAAGCATTTCTGAGGAGTTTGTCGAAGTGATTATTGCAAAGCCCACTTAACATCATTTAGTATTAACCAACTCATATGGCCATGCCGGCCTATATGCCAAGCTGAAACAGAAAATGTATGGCTTTGTTGGGTTACACAAGAACAAACCATGAAAAGTATAACCCTCGGTATAACCATCGCACATTTTCCTGGGATTTCTGTAAATGATCGTAGCATCGTAGTGGGCGTTGAAATAGTGTTAAGCTACCATTTTATAAAAAAAAATCACTGTCAATATTTTTCAAAAATCCAAATGGAAATAATGGACGATTAAATTTAACTGTATTCGGGCACATGATAAGTACCTATTCAGCGAGGCATTATTTTATGAATTCGAGGGCTCCAATTGGCCCCCAATTGAACTCCGATATTATGTATATTAATGATTAAAGCTGAGCAAATCTTTATAAATAGCTAACGCTGTTTCATTTGTTATTAATTATTTATAATGTATTCTTCTCGAAAGTCAATGAAAGGTCGAATGATAAACATTGGATTTGTACCCAGTGTGTCAAAATGAAATTTGATCTCATAAGCATAGGTTACAGCGGTGAATATGGTAGACCCGGTTAGACCCGAGGTTAGAACCGAATTATATCGTTCTACAATAATTAAGATTGTATTTTTCATTATAGACATCATGCTAAACGATGTTTATATTCGATTACACGATAACATTAGATCATTCGACGTTCGACGTCTGTTAATAAAAATGATACCTGTTCATGAAGCCTTCATTCAGCAGAAACAATATAAGTATTGAATAATAGTTATTAATACTCCAAGGTGTATTGGATTTGGATTTGGAATGGGGCCTTCGGGCTATCTGCCTCCACACTGCGACCTTTTTAGATCTATTGTCTGCCCTCAAAATCGATTAGAGTTCTTCGGCTAGCCCCGCCTTCTCTATGAGACTCCATAGGCTAGCTTTCAGATCTCCTGTGTATCTCTAGGCTCCTGGTTTTTCCTCACCCAGCGTAAGGAACCTTAGTCTTGACAAGCCCTCACAGTGACAAAGTATGTGTACTGCTGTTTCTTTCTCCTCTTGACAGAACCTGCACAGCAGTTCTTCAGTCAGACCTATCGTACTTATGTGTTTGTAGGGTTGCCACCTCTCAGGGTTTGACCCGGAGTCTCCGGGTTTCAGTAAGGCTCCTACGGGCTCCGGGTTGGATACTTAATTCTCCGGGCCAGTTCGGACACGAAAAAATCATAAATATATTCAAAAGTTCTCCATCGGAGGAAAGTTGGCAACAGTGGCAATTATATTACTGAGTTTGGTTCATGTCGTGGAGGGGAGAGGTCTAGAGTCGAGGCTAATATCTTGCAATTCAAACACGAAATATAAATTCAAATTCAAAGATTGATTTATTTTATTTTTGTATATATAGGACTGTTTTTATTTTGTTTTTCTATGAATTAGTTTTTTTTTTGTTTATTTATGAATTGTTATTTTGTTTATTCATGAATTGTTTTGTTTATTCATGAATTGTTATTTTGTTTCCATATTATGTGTTTTCTTATTTTTTGTGAATTGTTTTTTGATTATGTTTGATAAAAATATTTCATTTCATAATCTCCCGTGTACTCACTTGTACAGGTAGAAAATTTAGGAAGGTCTATGGCATCAAGCCATTTTTTTTTCATGAATCCATTTATAAACAGACATATTGTGCTCTCGGTCCATACCTGGCAAAAAATATATTTTCAATTTAAAGGCAGTTGACCTTGAACCAAAAAAAAATCCGCCTGCGGCGCCATTTCTTTGTGTTTTCATGAGGCTCCTCAAATCTACCACAATCTCCAGGTCTACAGATTTCAAAAGGTGGCAACCCTATGTGTTTGTTGAGCCTACAATGCCCTGTGAGAAGTCCCCCTAGTATTCTAGTTGAATTTCGTTTCTGGCTAAGTAGATATTCTGTGAATGTTGGCGATAGTTTTTTTAATAAACTCTTTAGCCTGTCTCATTCCTGGCGAGTTGTTCCACCATTCTTGAGATTTGGTTAGCATCCATGATTTGATACTAGTCTTTTGTATAGTTTTCGCAATACCACAGAAGGGTTCTGGGCCATTAAGAGCTTTGTCTGCTCCTGCTCGGGCAAGTGAGTCTGCCTCTTCATTGCCCTCGTACCCTGTATGTGCTGGTACCCATGCTAGAGTCAATCTGTTCTGACTGCCCAGTGCATTTAGGGTTTCTAAGCAGTCCCATACTAGTTTTGAGTTAACTTGCATAGAGTTGACTGCTTTGATTGCCGCCTGGCTGTCTGAATAGATTGCAATGGTTTTGCCTTCAAACTCTTGCCTTATCAATTCTTTCACGCAATGATGTATTTATTTGGGAAAAATTCAAGAAAGAAGAACTTTTTATGAACGATAACGTTTTCCCTAAAATGAATAATAAAAAAGTTGTTTTCCATATGGTTCCAACTTAG